CCAAGTCACAAAAGCAAAGTTTGAAGGGAATAGTCATTTTCTTTACTTTCTTGACAAAAGCAATTAGGAAACAACATAGGAAACAACACTGTCCAAAGACAATAACTTAAAATATTTGTCTTTGAATAGTAACTGTTATTTCCTATTTGATTACAACTAGAAAGTATTAAAAAATGTTTAATGTTTCCTCAAACTTTGATTTTCTGACTAGGATAATGATATTTCTGAAATTTTACCTATTCTGATTGGGAAAACTGGTGAATGGGAACATTCTTGTTCATACAAAGTAAGCATATGATTCAAAAGTGTTAGTTATTTATTCTAGGATTACACAAGAGACCACAAAAAATTTTGGGAGGCAATGATGATTTATCTGCACTTGGATAGATAAAAGTAAATTAAACTGTTGAGTTTATCTTCCCTGTATTTATATTACCATCTATGTTGCCAGAACATTGTAGAAGTTCTTGAAATTTCGAGAAAATTCCCCTTCACCAACTCAATCTGTCTGGAATGTAATGGAAAATAGGCGAGTTTCAAAACATCGATGTCCAAGTCACAAAATCAAAGTTTGAAGGGAATAGTCATTTTCTTGACAGAAGCAATTACAAAACAACAATGACTGACCAAAGACAAAAAAAGTCAAAATTTTGTTACACAGTATAATGGCTTATGAAATCCAAAAATACTCACACATTGGAGAACTATTTACGTTCACTTGAAACTAAGAAAATGCTCAGAAATATACAAAAAATGTTTAAATCCTTACATTGGTCTTGAAACAAACTCGTATGAGAGAAATCAATGATTCAAGTCTAGTGAATTTAGAAAGCTTTTCAACACCTCCTGCCACAAGTAAACATCAATAGCATAAACAATATACGAAATGAGCAACCTGGAAATCAACCATTGGACATAAAAAGTCCGTCACAGTTGCCTTAATTCATGACTAGTCACAATCTCTTCCTTATTTTCAATTCATATTTATGATAAAATTATTAGTCATGCATTTAAAAAAATTCATTTGCCAAGCATTTGAGTGAAATAATTTCCAATTAATTTTTATACTTAAGGTATTTGGTGTGTTCAAACAGCAGCAGCTGACAGGATAACACTGAGGCAAGATCCATCAGGTCACCACCCCACTCTCTCGACAAATCAAGCCAAAGGAGAAAAAAAAAAGCAAAGACAGCTCTATAAAAGGACAGAGCACCTGCTGACTACCAAACTCTTCTGCAGTTCATGTGAATAAGCAAACACATGAGATCTCACAGAAGATAGAAGAAAAAAAACACTAATTCTGAATCTTCTGGTTTGTGAAACCAAGCAATAATAATATTTAAGGATTGGAGGGAAGTTTTGATCTGTTACATGAAGCCTTGCCATAATAACAAAGGCTATATAAACAGGTAGTTAAGATATTTGTATAATATTAGAGTCCAGTTTATACTGCACTAGTAATTAATTTTGAGTGGTTAAAGATATCAAGCTGTAAAAGTAGACATTCTTTTCACAAATTACTTGGCACAAGTAATGCCCAATTCTGAGGCAGAATTTCTGGAATGAGGAGCTATTTAAAACATTTACAATATGACTACTATCCTTATCTTTATTGTTATCAGATTTTAGCTGTGGTTCCCTTTGATCTTTAGGTGTACATCAAATTTGCTGCTTCTCTTTTTTTTTTTTTTTTTAACATTTCACCTCAAGCAAAGCAGGAATGCCAATGGTTCGCAGGAAGTTACATAGAATGGAGGTGAGAGAAAAACTATCTAGGGGGAATGAAGAAAGGATAAAAGATGAACGTGGTTCAAGAGATCAAAAGATGGCGACAGACGTTGCATTTAAATTTTTGAAGATTGTCATTATCAGGGAAGCAAGTAAACAGATGGGAGTTCCACAGGTAGGAAGTGCTGGAAAAAGAACCAGTAATTTGTTCTTTAAAGTTTATTCTCTTTCGAAATATGTTTTGCTATCAAAGTTTTGGATGATCGGATGTGGTGACGGTTATTGTGAAAAAACAGAATCAGCAAGCAGAGTTCAATTTTCCAGCAAGGCAGTTGAGTTCATTTGAGTATTACACACTTGAGAAAGGTATGAATCCATCTTTTCCGATCCAGTTATCAGTAAAATAGTTAGACAGTATAGTTTTCACTTTTAGTAGGAAAAGGAAAACTGAACTCAAAATGAAGGCAGTAACGAGAAAACCAAACAGCTAACTTTCCAAAGAATAATCATGGCTAATCACAATTTACAGTGATAAAAAAAAAAAAAAGTTTAGGACCATAATGGCTTCCGCCCTGAAAGGACACAGTTTAAAAAAATACAAACTTCATTTTTCTTATTCTTTGTAGTGACTGTTAATAAACGGTACCTAAGCTGGAAATGATATATAACAGGTTTACACAAGAGAGCTAGGCAGATAGTGGGTTTTGTATCCCCTAAATGATTTTCAGTTCAATTATGGTACTAACGATATTTTTTGTACTTAAATTTTAAAAATTTACATTTCTAATTAAAAAAAAATAGGTTTCGATATAGAAACTATGGCCTGCACTGAAGAGGCAAAATTCACAAAGAGAATTTATATTTTGCATTTTATCCATTTAGACTTCTTTCAGGAAGATTTTCAGTGTCAAAAATGGAACAAGCAGACCAAAAACACAGAAGTAGAGATCTGGATCATGATTTTCAGAGAGATACAAGGAAAATTAGATTAACAACTGATATTTGCTGCCCAGTATATCGTAACTTCTCGCCACTGTCAAACAGAGAAAAAAACGGTTTGGACACGTCACAAGGCACGATAGCCTGTGCAAGATCATCATGCAAGACACCGTTGAAAATAGACGTAAAAGAGGATAATAATGTCAAACAATGGACAAATCTGATGGCTGCCGTTGATAGACCGTTGTGGAGGAGATTCAATATGGCTTCTACATTCGGATCCCCACCAGCTATTACAAAAGTCAAGGAGATGAAGATATGTTAAAAAAAGCAAGTAATGATCAATCAATTTAAAGTATAAAAGGAATTGAGTACATTTTAAACATCTTCCAGAGAACAATTTTCTCATTTTGCATATTTAAATTTTAATATTTGGGAGTTTACACCAAAAAAGAAAACATTGTCAGAATTTTTTTTATTAACGTTATTCGAATTTGGGGGCTCAGAAGCAAAAGTGCTGGCATGTATGGCAAAAAAATTTTGTTAACTGAAGCTAATTTTGTTGAGCCACAAAATACATTTGATAGGTATTTAAATTCAAGTTAAACCAGTCTGTCAATTATAACATTCATTACAAGATTTTAATAACTTTTCCAGTGAAACAAAAGCAAAAGTAATTATCCAGAACTGATCATCTAAAAACATTAAACATATGCAAATTTCAGTTAAGTTCAACCAGCTCTGAAATCCTGAGTGTCTACATTCAGATTAGCACACATCACTTGAGAAATGTTCCAAAAAAATACAGAATGTGTGTGGTAATAAAAGGACGAAAATGTGTTACTTTTATTTCGATGCTTAGTAAACTATTTTAGATTGGTAATTTTCCCTGCATGGTTTAAGCAGCAAAAGAAGAAAAAAAGAAAAACTTTGGTATGAAGAAAAAAAAGAAAAACTTTGATATAAATAAAACAATCAATACACTCATCTTATGTCAATGTTTATTCTTTCCAATGATGGCGAGACTCAATTGCCGCATCAAAGAATTAAAACAACTGCCATGAAAAAGACAAACGAGTCATTAACATACACTCGGGTAATGAACATCGAAAGACAAGTGAACTCTTGAATATAAGAATGCCTGAGACTTGCAATATGGACGTTAGGAACAGGTACATTTTGTGAAGCAAATGAGGCAGCTATTGGCAAAAACAAGGACTCCAAAGAAATTTAAAAAGTGAGGAGAATTTTGAAGAGCGTTTAAGGTCTGTTGCAAATAAGTGTTTCCATGGGAAATTACCAAAAAAAAAAAATAGCTGCTTATTCAACTAAATTAAGGAATGGGAATATGGAAAAATGTAAATTTTCTAGACAATGGCCAACAAAACGTGAAGTGAGAAGATCTTGGTAAACGAGAAGAAAAATACTGTAATATTTTCTCTGCAAATATTGAAGTAAATAAATAGCAATGACATTATTTAATACATTTATGCTGTACTGCATAGAATTCATGTTTTATTTCTCTTATAACATGTGCAATTGTTAACATAGGCAATGTTTATGGCGTCTGAAGGTTGAACGAGGTTGAAATATCTCAATTTCCTGAATTACCGAGTGAAAATTAAGCAGTGATGAATTGTTGTCCTACTGACGGTTTTCTTTTATACTTTAAGACAATGATGCATTGTCATGACAAAAGGCCACATATTTCGGAGGGAAATAAAAGAATGTGTAAACATTTGTTAACCATCGGTGTTTTGAGAAATCTTCCTCTTCGGACAACCATTATGATTATTATTTTCTTGGGGGGGGGGGAGGTGCAAGATGTTCACTATTATTCTTTTTATCCGCTAAGTCTACTTATCATGCAATAACATTGGCATAGGCTCATTATGTCACATACTGTAATTGTCAAGAAGTGATTAAAAATCTCAATACAACCCTATATTTTCCTGATAAAACTTTGCTTCAGGCTTATTTCAACTACGTACTACCATAAAGTTGTTTAATATCTTAAATTCTTCAATGATTAAAAGATGCCGAGACTAAAGACGCAATTGACCAAATTACAGTGACCAACAGAAGTCACTAACTTTCGACACTAATGATTGGTTGTTTGCTTTTGTTTAGCGTCATACACCTCTTTGGGTTCATTAACATCGAAATCTATATATTTTGTATGTTTTGAGATTATAATGGTTTTAGTGATAAAAGTTTTACTAATTAACCTATAGCTGGAGGAGTTTTAGATTCATAAATTTCCAAATGATAACCCAACCGGAATCACAACTCCGCTCTCCAATTAACAATTATAACATCCACATATCCAAGTTTACAGAACCTGGTATTCTCAAGTGATCATCCATCTAGATACTAATCAGGTTCGATGCTGCTTAACTTCGGTGATCATACAGGAACCGGTTTTTTCAACAAGATGTGGCCATAAGCCCCTAATCGATAGGGCTTCTTTTCTTCAACACCATCTAGTTTCGTTTTTCTTTACCATACTTGCTAGATTGAGTAAATGTCAATAAGAGCTTCTTAGGATACAGACGGAAATTAAGAGTAGCGAACATTTAGATTTTAAAAGTTGCAAAAATATTTCTTATTCCTAATAATTGAACTTTCAGAATTTTAAAGACAGCTCCCTTTTGTACAAAATAAGGAAAAAAAGGTTCCAATAATTTCATTCTCAGATAATATATTGAACGCAACAGTTTGGGAAACTGAATTAATGGATAGCAGAACAAGAACTACAAAGTCAGGAGATGGTGAAGGAGTCAGAAGAGGTTCTTAAGAGCATCAAAAGATTGGAAATTCTGGAGATGATCAACCAAGTTTTGAAAGGGCATTGCCCTGAAAAGACAGGGGGCACGGAGGGGTGCGGGAAATTGCCCTGAAAAGACAGGGGGCACGGAGGGGGGCGGGGAATTGCTCTGAAAAGACAGAGGCAGAAATACCAAAAAGAGAGAATGTAAATTATCTAGTGATGCCAAGCCGAACTTCTGAAGAACGTGAAAATGTTTCGTGATTTCAAGGCCATAATACAAACCCGTCAACAACTACTAGACAAGAACGGCTACAGCCATTGTACCAGAATCAACATCTTCCTTACGGAAACGACGAAAAAAGAAAAAAATCGAATTAAATGGAAACGCCTCGTTAGCATGAGGAAATGCTGGATCTCCCCCTCTATTTTGTTTGGAAATGAGTAGAGTTGAGGCCATATTCACAGGCATAGAGTTTCTACTGTATTGTAATTTATAGAGTTATTAATTGAATGCTCATGATAGAAATGGATTATTGAATCAGAGTGAAGTGATAGGCATCCTCTTTTGTCATTAAGTTGAAAAACTACAATGGAAGGTAAGAAGCCTAACATCAATGTTTGAAAGAGTGATTTGCGAATTGGTCTCTGTAACACTTGACTGTCTGGACAAATTAGTTTTTCGTTGACTTAATTGAATAATGTGCAATTTCTAAGAGCAGTTTTATTTTTGATACTTTATTTTCGGTTTTCCTTCTGAGGACTATGTAAAAACGTGTTGTCGCGGTGATATAGCAAACCACGTGACAGTGTTACACTGTTACATCTTTCCCCACCGGTAGAGAGTTTAAGTAAAAAGCTATCATTTCGAATAGTATTCTCTGGAAAACTGACGCAGCTCAATCTTCTCCATAGTCATTTGACTTGCTGTTGTATTTTGCCATCAATAGTCACCTGTTGCCCCCCCTAAGATATGGTGAAATTTTAGTAAAATAAATAGTAAAATAAAACCAAATATATTGCAAACTGCAGCCAACAAAATAAAGAGGAATTTTTTTAGAAATCATTTTATTTCGTAAGTCGACAATTTTTTTCGGTCAAGTTCGTATATTCATAAAAATAAGTGACATTTAATAAACCTATATTTCTTTTTAGCTTGCTAAAACATGAATTAAAAAATGTTACAAAAATCAAAGGACTCAAAAATTTTAAATTTACTAAATAAAAATAAAGACAGGTAAACTAAACATTTCCCCTGCCCATAGAAAATGTTCTAACCTAACCAATAACTTCTTAAAATTAAAAAGGTTAAACAATAAATTCAGGCCCCTTCCTGTCTCCAAAAATTATTTTATAACCGATCAGTGAGTTTTTTCAATACATGGAAAGAAAATTTGAAAGTCGACTTGATCCTATAGGGGAGAGATAAAAAGACCGAAATAAATAAATTAATAAAAAACATACAAATCAAGATCAAACCAGTCAGAGCCGGCAGACAGAATCAGAGTGTCATAAACCAAGCAGAAAAACAGACGACCAAAACATCAAATCCAATTCAGGAAAAAAAAAAAACAGAAAAAAAACGCTGTCCTCCCTTTAATTACCGACTTATGTGATATATATTTAAAAAAAAAAAAAATATTAAAAAATGCCAAAACTACATTTTTCTGTGAATTCGAAAATTTTCTAAATTCCAAATTACATATGCAATTTTTTTTAAAAGGATTTTTATATATATATATATATATATATATATATATATATATATATATATATATAATATATATATATATATATAACACAATGAACAAAATTATTTCTTAATTTGGTTCGTCTGCTACCGAGGGTAGCCTTCAACTTTACACAATTTGATCGACCTCACCATTTCAACACAACTTTCTACTGTTCCCATTGGACTTTCGGTAAAATGTCTCTTCATAAACAGAAAACTTCGATCATTTCAAGAACCATCTTAGTTTATTTGAGCTTTAACATTCCCCAAAGTTATTTGCTTGTACAATTTTTTTTTTTTTTTTTTTTAATATTTTTTGTTAGCTTTTGTAATAATATTCTGCCAACCCATCTTTTCAATCTTTCCTAACCAAACAAAATATTTTTTTGTGCAATGTTTTATTTCTGTGAGTCATTGAGTCCATTCGTAAATATTTTTTTCTGATTAATTTCAAATTTTCTGGATACTTTTTTGTGCCTCTTTTCAAAGTGGGGAACTTCCAACAGAACATTTTGCTCCTTATTCGTAAAGGTGCACAACAAAAAAAAAAAAAAAAAATTGTAAACAGGCAAAGTGAGATGAAGAGGCTTTACCTTTTACCATATGATTGATAAAATTGCCTACCTCCTCCTGCCTTTCACAGATGTCTAGAAAGCAAATATGATATGTAAAAACCAGCAAACCAAAGTCTGTGTGAATATTTCTTATCTTCGTTTTCCACGGAACCTGGGCGTACACCCGACCCTCCTCCCACCTTTGTGGGGAGCTTGATTGCGGGACCCGGACAGTGTTTTGTGACCCTCGCTATCTTAAACATTTGATTTTTTCGATATATATATATATATATATATATATATATATATATATATATATACACGCTACAAGTGAAATTAAGCACAATTATTGAAAAGAATGAAAGTTTTTCTCAAATTTTGACGTCATTCTCGTTTCTTTTTTATCCAAATCCGTGAATTTTTGTTCATGTTAATTCACAAAAAAAAAAAAAAAAAAAAACCTCCATTCATTATTTTTTATCCATAAATGTTGAAAGTGTTCAAATTATTCGACTTTTTAACAAGACAAATCTCAAATTGATGTTTAAAAATTGTCGCAAAACATTGATTTATTTAAGATGGAATGATTTATGTCTAATTTGTATTTATTTACAGTGGAACCTCGGTTCACGAATTTAATTCGTTCCTGAAGCCCGTTCAAAAAACCGAAACTTTTTGCAGTAGTAATTAATGTAAAATGCATTAAATTTTTAATTACAAAAAGCTAATGAAAATCATATACTACATAAAACTAATGAAAATCATTAAATATAAGAAAAAAAATACTGAACAGAAAGACGAACGCTTCAATTTTACCGTACCTGCATGTAGGAGAGTTGATGGCGTAAGTTAAGGGGGTGGAAAGAGATGTTAGGAAAAGGGAAAGAAAGACATGATCGTCTCTTTATTTATAAAAATAGTATAGGTCGCTGATTTTTGCCATATGAAACTGAGTAGGAAAAGAATATCATCAACAATCGTTTTTCTCTTAACTTTTCTTTTTCCTTTACCAGTATCACTGCTAGCTTTCTTTGGAGCCATGACTAAGGGCTAATGTAGAGAGAAAAAAAAAGGACAGTACAATAAAATTGGAAAAGAAAAGCACAGTACATCACAAGAATGTATACAACATGGCGACCGACTAAGAAATGATTCCTTCGGGTTTTAACTCGGTTCAGCAATGTTGTTCGATAACTGAGGCATTTTCATCTCGAATTTTCTGTTCCAAAACCGATTTGTTCGACATGTGAGACGTTCGAGAACCGAGGTTCCACTGTAGGTACATTCTACTTGTTTTCAATTTTTCTAATTGGTCATATCGGAGTTAGCTCCTCCTTAACCTTTCACCAGGGGTCTCTCCCCGCTGGCTATAAATACTAGCTGACCCTTCACCTCTTCCTCTTTTTTACTCAGGCGTTCAGCCTTATACCACCTCGCAGATGCGAGCTCTCACAGATACAGCGTTTCCCAAATTCTGGGAACACGCTAAGAACAATACACGTACGTACGAACACTCACCACAACACACACATAATATTCACCACACAAACTCTATCCATGTAACTTGTAACCTTTAACTTGTTATTAATACATATATTTGTTTACATATATTTATCGGTCTTGTTTGTTTTCTTTGGACTTAATTAAAGTCGAATATTCTCATGTAGTTGGACCGGCTAGCAAGAAAATTTTAACTCACGTGTATTCTTCTACATACTCATCACCGCCACGGTCCGCTACAGTCACCTCTATTGCATATATTCCATTATTATACATATTTAGGTTACAATAAAATTTGTTTATATATATATATATATATATATATATATATATATTAATACTACCTTAAAGTTGAGATGCAGTAAAAGGGGCTCGGGAGCACATATCAGATTCAGTGAAGAGCTCACGAGATCCCCTGAACCGACCCTGGTTTTCCAGCCAACTTTAACCATTTTTCTATTTTCACTTGGATTTCTAACAAACTAAAAAAAAAAAAAAAGTTTCGTAAACCTTGTTTCCGTCGATACACGAAACAAAAAAACAAAAAACAAACGAAAACTTTATACTATTTACATCGTTTGGACTGTTGTCCTCATCTTTATTGTCATATTCACGATGTTTCGACCGTTGTACGCTCCGAGCTTCTTCAGGTGATATACGTTAGAATTTCGAACTAAACACTTTTAGTCCACGGGGGTAAATTGTTCTAATTCCACCTGGCATCGTGAATGGCATTAAAGATGGGGACAACGGTGTAAAAAAGTTATAATACCTCATCTCGGAAATATAAAGAGATACGAAAATGAATATATCTACGTTTTATTCAACTGATGTTCGTATTTCGTTTACATGCAGGCTGTCAACAAAATGGTCGTGTTTCTCAAATAAGGAGTGTCTGTTTAAATCGCGAATAGTGTAACGAGAAATGTGCCGACAACAGCCCATTAGTCTGTTAAGCGGCTTAGATGAAGAGAATACATAAAAAACGTTCTACAAGCAAATAGCCAAAAAAGTCAGTAAAAACAAAAAAGAAATCAAAGATACGAGCATATATTATTTTAAAATAACCTTTTATCCCGGGTAAGAGAAATTATTCAGAATATGCTTCCTTCTCTAAGGAACGCATCTCCTCGTTTAGATGGGCAAACTCGATCGGATTGCGACACCATTACACTTTCGCCACCTGCACCGTTGCTTCCTGTCATTCAGCAATGGGTTCCCCCAGGTACGACAGTTTGGAAACAGTTCCGTTTATTATTGTTAATTATAATATTTAAATTTGAATATAAATCTCGAGAAAAAAACAAAAAAAAAAAACAATGTAAGACCCTAACCCTAAGCAACGGGGATGCGAACTCGGCAGCGTCATTGTTTTGCGTGTCTTTGCCTTTTTTTTTTTTTTAAACTAATATTCACCCAATACAAGAGCCACTCAAGGTAGAGGGTTACTGTATGGAGTTACTGTATTAGCGTAGGTAAGGGTAATCGCTGAAATAGACTTTAGAAGAAACCTCTACTGTTCGAATGTCCGGAGAGGTGTGTGTGAAGCGGACGATAGGCGAACCTATCTACTCCTATTAAGCGAACGCGAGTTAAATAAGACCAGCATAAGATAGCTTCATATTCAGAACTCAAACTACTTATCTTTTCACAGAAACGGCTATAACTCTACTTGCCATATTTCCATAACTCAAAGAATTTCTTCAATTGTTATTATAGGATTAGTTTTCTTGCATAATTGTTTTCATGAGCCAACATTCATCAAGCTTCAAGGGTTGACACCCGAGTAGTGATTGCTGCCATCACAGAGGCACAGGTCCTACGACATTGGAATGTATCGTAAGTGTAATAAACAACTAAATAATAATCGACTCATCAGAAAACTTTCACAGCTGGACTCCCATAATAATTGTACTTTATATAACAGCTGAAATAAAAAGGGATTCATTTAGAATTTCAGCCCAAATTCATGGCGTGAGGATGAACAGGTAGTGTAATTACCAGCAGACTGCGACGAGAATTTATCGGTTTTGTTAAATTCAGTTTCGCGTAGATACCTATGAGCTTTCCACCATCCCATAAATAGAGAAGAATGGGTTCCTTTCGACTTTGGTTGGCAACCAGTTGAGAAGGACAATTTCTGAATTCAAAATTAGAGGACTGAGGTGGTCACTTCCAGTTTAATTTTTTTTTTTTTTTTACAGCTTATTCAAACCCAGAAATAATTCTGGACTTAGAATTTCCTAGAGATAATGATTTAAAAGTCTCACTAATTAACCTGGGGTCGAAGGGTATTTGCACATAATTGAATATAACGAACTCGACTGAAATTGGAACTGCTTTCCGACTTCCAAATCCGATCCGTTATCAATTACACCACCCGCACATCCAAGCTTACAGCTCCTGGTATTCCTAAGCGGTCACCTATCTAGATACTGACCAGGCTCGAATGTTGCTTTACTTCGGTGATCGTACGAGAATTGGTCTTTCAGTATGGTATGGTCGTAAGCCTATAATTTCTAGAATAGACTTACTTAGTAATCATCCTTGACGTGGCGTTATTTCTTGCATTGGAGATAGCATAGGACGAAATGATCGAAATTTACAAGCGAAATAACGAGTCATCTAGGTTATATTTCTCATGAACATTTCTTTCGCCTCCTTCAAAAATGTTGATACCAATTAAATTCTATAACTTACTCATTGTTTGTTATATAATACTGTTGAGACAACATTTTGGTCCCACCCGTAGAGAAAAAATTTTATATAATTAGATGAAAAATAGTAAAAAAGTTATTGCTCATCAGCATCGACTTAGATGAAAGAGTAATGAATTATGAGTTCCATCCTCATTGGTTACGACATACTAGTGTCCTTGTTCTGAACTAATTTAATCTTAATACAAGGTGATTGAAAAATACCTCCCCATTTTATGTATTATGAAATCTCCCGTCTCGTAAAAATAAGTTAGACGGGAGGATCCACCATACATAAAATAGTTACTTCTCACTCACACTGTATATTACATACGACTGAGTATAGCTCAAACGAATTACGTAATCGTCGCGGGTGGAACTCGTTTCTGAGTATTGGGGTGCTCACCGACATTTCCTTCTGTGTGAAATGAGTCGTATGTTGGATCTGAAGAGATGTCCGCAGTCACTGCATGATAGGGTAGGAAGGTTCAGTGGGTGGAGAGCACTGGCTTTTCTTTCAACTCTTTGTCTCTTCAGTTTGTCTTCTGATATTTTCGAAGGATGTTTTTTTTTTTTGTTTGTTTTTTTCGTGGACAGCTCTTCAATTGGTTCTTTCTGCAGCTTTCGTCTCCCAATTGACCGGATCGATTTTTGTCCTCAGCAAGGTGTTTTTAAACTGATCCTTGAAATTGACGGCGTGGGGCTCCACGTGGGCTATTACTAGATGAGATCTCTGAGAAAAAAAATTTGTTTACGTAGTCAGATGAATCGCGTAATAAAAATTTTACGCGAATTCTTCAAGATGGTTCATTAAATAAATGGATGAACAAATGCTTTTTGTTTGGATCGTATTGCTGACTGAAGCAGCCAATCAGCCAATACACCTTTGCTCTAATAAATACCATTGACCACGGTCAGCTGATGCACAGTCCGATAACATTGATTTCATCTCCACTTGTAGGTACTACATAGCATTATACTAGGTGTTGCGGCCCTACATGTAAAGGAGACAATTTTGAAAAACAAGACTTGTTATCTTGTGGAGCGAATCCAAATTTACCTTTACGAAAAACTGAAATTTCAGTCCAATCCGTAGACGCAGATTTCTATCCGCACCCCCTCCCCCACTTTAGAGTTACAGTTATCAGTGCTGAAAAAGGAATCCGTAAACAGTTCAAGCCTCAGACGAGGTTGTTTGCATTCACGTTGCATTGATGCTTTGGAGAAGCCTTCTCCTTTATGGCGATATAAGCATTTTAGATTTTACCAGTACCCATTCTAAGAGTACAACTGAATTCAAACCCAGCGAGAAGGACGGACGGATTGCCCAATATAACCAAAGCTGAAGCACATTGTGTGCCCCATGACCCTAAAATGGTTTACTAAATGAACACGCGTATGGAAAAATGTATTTTCCTCATATTAAGTACTTGATCAAATCGTAGGCAATGCAGAAATGCGAGTGGCTTGCTCAAGTTTTCACTAACCCACCACTAAACTGTTGTGGTATAATAATGAGACCAAAAATACTAGCCACACACACACACATATATATATGTTTTAAGGGATGCTAGACTTATGTGTTAAGTTTTCAATATCAGATAGAGAGAGAGAGAACATGTAAATCTGGCTTGACGATTGCATTTAAGCATGAAACAGACTGTCGCCTCTGGATGTTGACTTCAATGTCTCGATCTCTCATAATGTTTGTCAAAATGAATTTGACTGAAAAGACCAGTGTGGAGATAGTTGGTGAATGACTGAGTTGCAAAAGAAAACATCCTTCTTTTGCGACCCTCTCTGCTAGGATCAGGTAACCACAGTAATAACATACAGGAACAATAATAACAACTTGTTTCATTGTCAGCCAAAAAAAAGATGAGCATGAGGTGAAGGGATTTTTATAACATACCTCTGCCCTCACTTCTTCTACCAATCCAAATGGAAGGCTATGAAAGCAGAGGAGAAAGAGGCATTTGTGCCTTAGGGCTCCCCGGTTGACATCACTGCTCTGCTCATGTAAGTATTCATTATTTCCGACTATATATATATATATATATATATATATATATATATATATATATATAGGTACATCCACGAAATCGCTAAAAAAAAGCATAGCTTGATGAAAAAAAGATGTCAAGCTTGCCGAAAACAAAATTTTATCGTCTAAATGCTTATGTTCTTATTAAGAGGAAAGACCAAAGTTTTTTTTTTATTTTTAAAAATTATTCCTTCTTTTTAGAACATTCTAAATTTTGATTAAAAAAAAAAAGATTTCACTTTGTATCAGCGGAATTAGTAAAAAAACAATTTTTAGCACTTTTTATTTTTGGTATGACACATTAATTTGGAAAATCTTGCAAAAATATAAATAATTGTCGGAGGTTCAGGAACTATTCACAGATGATCGAAATTGTTTTTTTGTTTTTTTTATTAAAGTCATGGCAGAAATAATTTTATATTTATTACCCCCCATAACTCATTTTATGAAAACGCTAGAAATTCGATCGAGTCTAGTTTAATGGTTATAATAGTTAAAAGCACAAGGTTTTGAGGAATGCAAATCATGTTTTTTTTTTAATTGGACCCCCCACCTGAAAATCAGCTCTGAATTGTAACATAAAAAACTCAATAAAACAAAAGATATTTAATTTCAAATGCTTTTATTTGCTTTTAGTTGTTTTTATAAATATGGACAATATTTTCTGAAAGCAAAATTTTTTTCGATGAAAAATGAATTTTTAATACAATTATTTGTTATTTCTTAATTATAATAGATTTTTACATTTAAGTTTTTAAAATATTATAAAATTAGTTAAAAGCCGCATCAGGTTTCCTAAGTCTCCTTATGAGATAGATCTTTTTTTTTTAGCACGTTGTAAATTGTATCATTTTGACTAATCAGAAGATCCGCAGTAATTAAGAAATGTAATTTTGTGTTTATAATCAGGCTGTAATTATAACGTACGGAAGACCAACCAGAATACAATTAAGTTGAGTTATTTGTTCTCCGCTGTTAAGGCCTTTACTTTTGCGAAACACGTGTGGAGAAGTTAATTTGATTTTTCAATTTCAACTGAGAAAGGTACCTACAAGTATCAATATCATCATATGAAATTTATATGATCTTATTTTTATATTAATCTCAGTTATGACATTTTTCCATACATGAAATATCAAAATTAATAAAATGAATGGAAATACAAATAATACAGTAAAATATAATAAATGTACATAAAATTATAGTATTTTATGTACACTTCTGATAAAATTTCATAAGAAAGGTACCTATAAATTAGATACCTCATGAAATTTAATCTCACTCTTAACAGTCTTATTTTAATTTCTTTATAATATATTTTCCATAAAGCATCGTAAACGTAAAGGGGAAAGCTAAGTACAAAAAAAATTAGAGCGCTGAAAGTTTTCCTTAAAAGTAACGAGGTAAATAATTTGTTCACTTAAATGTAAATAATTTCACTTTTCTCCTTCCGTAGAACAAATTATCCTCACAGAATCCGTCAATGTCATTCACCACCTGTCAAGTGAGGCGAATGTTTATGAACTGCTTTGTTTTATTTTCAAATTATTACATGTTTTCGGCGCAGAAGCTAAATTAAACTTGGTTCAAAATATTTTAAATAAACAATTTCTGATTTTCTTAAAATAACTTTTGAAAAAATGATAATTGATATTTAAAAGAATTTCAAAGTGAGATTCATTTTTTTTTTTTAATAAAATGGAAAAAAAATGGTTGCCATCTATCAATTTTGCTAACTCAAGAACAAGAATAAAAAGATTAACGAAAATTTCGGACGTGCTAGGAACGATTAAAAAATGTAAAAAAATACCTCCAAAATACTTTGATCTTTCCTCTTAATAGCAAACATTTAGACGATAAAATTTTGTTTTCGTCAAGTTTGGCGTCTTCATTATGCTATGCTTTTTTTTTTTTTTTTAGCGATCTCGTGGAGGTACCTACCAAAAAGCATGAATTCTTCTAGTTTTCCACCCCAGCAGATATTAGTTAAATAGTAAAGCAGACTGGGCTTTTATTCTTGTTTGACAACCAGTCTTAAAAGACAACTCGGAATTACTGATCATCTACTTAAAAAAATAAAAATAAAAATAAAAAACTTTCATTTCATACCCGGTCTCTTGAACAGGAGTTGAGTTATCCCCTGTGTTACCGATTTAGGATTGGGTTTCAGGTTCCTTCTTTTAAGGATTTTATCATTTTCTTTCGCTCACAGTAGCCCTTTGCTTGGGGTAAATTGATTTAAAAAAAAAAAAAAAAAAAAAAAAAAAAATCAAATTCAGCAATTCTTACGAAAATACAGTTAATTCAATATCGTAGAATAAGATTAAATACATTTGGATGGATTTGTAGAAATATTTTTCTATGGTGGATTCTTTAAATACTGTTCAACAGAAAATAATCACTTCATTGATGAATATCAATTAAGTGCAATTAGTAAATTACGACAGGTACAGTTCCGACGTTTCCCGCCAAATCTTGAAGATTAAGAGGCGTTGAAAGTGAAAGTAACTTAGAACAAGGATATCTGAATGCAATTCATTAATAGAAAATACTTAATCTTTTCAGATTTCAACTGAAGAAATTAAGCATTTAATCCGAAAAGGTTTTAAATCCAACGTTAAACAATGCATGTGGTATTTATTAACAGCCGATTTCTTTAGTAAACTGAGAGAAAATCCGTGGAAAATATCCTGTAAAGCATTTATTAAATTTAATAAGTTATATTTTTTCAACGCACATTTGAGATGGCGAACAATCTTTCAATAAAA